ACGACAGATATATGATAATAATCAATGAATGAATTCAAAAATTGTTTGCCATGATGATGATGATGATGATGATAATGCGGAACAAATACAGAAAAGAGAGAGAAAATGAAAAAAGAATGACAGCCGTATATCATGTTATCATTTTATCATTTTTTTTTCTTCATTGGATAAAACAAAAAAAAATTTACATTTGATACCCATTCTTCATTGTAATCATCATCCTCAACAACAACAACAACAACAATAACAACGATTCATATGCCGAGATTATGTACCATTTCTGTTGTTGTTGTTGCTGCTGCTGCTGATGCTCAATCCTTTTACTGTTCAAATGACCGGCTAGACATTTTAGTAGTTGTTTAGATCTAAACAAAAAGGTTCCAAAACAAATTAGATGTAATGGAACAAAATACATACGATTCGTTTGAATGAACGAATAAATTTGATTTTGTTTTGTTCAATTTCAAACAAAACAAACATTCAACACACAAAACAGGCATCAAAAAAACAAAACAAAACAAAACAATGAACAAATGTTTATTTTTGTTTATTTTCAATGATGATGATGATGATAATAATAATAATGATGAGCAATCGATATGGAATTATGTTGATCAAGTTTTCAAAAAAAAAAAAAAAAATGAAAATGGAAAATGAAAAACATTTTGACAGGTTATATAACGAAACAATGTATTAATAGACACATATATGTGCATGATGATGATGATGATGGCTCATAAAATCAAAAAATTTTTTTTCCTGTCTGCTTGATAATGGATCCATATTTCAATCAATAGAATCAATTCACAGTTTCTTCTGAAACAAACAAAAAAAAATTCATCATAATCATAATCAAATTCAAAGCAGATATGTTTGGTCGAATTTGTTGTTGTTGTTGTTGTTGTTGTTGTTGTTGTTGGCATCATAATAATGATGATGATGATGATAATTATTACAAGTAACAACAACAGCAGTAGCAGCAGCAGCAACAGCAGCAGCAGCAGCAGCTGTCCATTGAATAATTTGTGTGTTTGAAAGTTGTCGAAAAAAAAATCCATTTACACATAATGAAAATGAACAACAGAAAAAAACAACAACAACAACAACAAAAATAGTATTTTTAGACAAGAAATAATTTGCAATCCAAAAATATGAAAAAGAAAAATTAGAATTACCTGAGAGACAAAAAAAAATTAATTACAGAAAAAATGACATAGGATGACATTCGATATTGAATTGAATGAATTTTCCATCTCACACCACTAGTATCATCACAATTTAATGATGATGAAAATCAAATCAATCATTTGATCATGATCATCATCAGTATCATCATTGAAGTTTTGAATCAAATGATTCAAAAAAATGAGGAAATGATCTATTGGCTATAACGAATAATGATGATAATGATGTGATGGATCAATAATCATGGATGAAACGATGACACGATATCATCATCATCATCATAATCATCATCATCATCTCAAAACCTATCCTATATCGTTATTGGCATTTGGTTTAAATTTTTTTTTCTTCGTTTTTCGTTGAATATAATAATAATTGCTGTTTGTGTGGTTTTGGGTTAATTATGGGCAAATTTTATCATCATCATCATCATCATCATAATCATAATCAAAATCATGAATCGAATCTTGAATTGATGAACAAAAAAAATGTCTGTCTGTGTGTGTGTGTTCTGTGTATATGAATTTTCAAATTAAACTTTCCATTTGCAAACAACAACAACAACAAAAATAACGATAATAACAGCCAGATTTGATAGGAAGCAATATATATATATGACAAATCATGATAATCACAAAATAATCACCAAATTATATGAAAACTAATTTTTTTTGTGGAAAAAAAATTGTATCTGTATATCCTGTACACGTGTCTACATGTTTATGAAAAATAAAAAAGAAAAAATTCATTTCGTTCATTCAAAACCTATCCTATATCGTTATTGGCATTTGGTTTAAATTTTTTTTCTTCGATCATCATCATAATCATAAAAATGAACAAAAATGTCTGTCTGTGTGTGTGTGTTCTGTGTATATGAATTTTCAAATTAAACTTTCCATTTTTTGCAACAACAACAACAACAACAACAAAAATAACACAGCCAGATTTTATATGATAATCACAAAATAAGTGATCCAAAAAAATCCATTATTGTAGTTTGTTTTTCATTTGATATAATTATATTCAGTTTTTTTTAAATAGCCCGTTTTGAACTTTTTTGTTGTTGTTGTTGTTGTTTCCACATTGAAGATCATTATTTGGATACGATAATTAGTGTATTTTGAACAGTAATAATAAACCAAAAAAATAAAAAAAAAATCGATCTCATTAGTTGTATTAAACAAATGGACCATCTATAAACGGGTTGAATTTTTTAAACCCGTTAAATACACACACACACATACACATAAACAGAAGCAAAACATCGGTATTGCCTGATGATAATATCTAGCCTAGACAATTATTATTGTGGTTTAAAAAGAGAGAAAAGAAATGACTAAAACACGAGCGTAATCATCATCATTTGATGATATTGGTTCAATTACCCTATATAATAATAATAATAATGGTTATGAATGTTGCAGCTGTAAATATAAATATGATGATGATGTAAGTGTTGTTTACACACGCCATATGACCAATCAACCAATGATGATTTTTTTTGTTTTGTTATTTTCGTTCCAATTTATCTTTTTGGTCAAAACTATCACCATCATCATCATCATCATCACACAATATGATTCCAGAAAAGATGATACACATTTTAAATGGATTCCAGATGGTACAAGAAAAAAAAAAAAAAACAAAACACATCAATATATCAAACCACATCAGATCCGATCCATCATTATGAGTGGCTATTATATTATTATTATTATTATGGATGTGATGATGATGATGATGATGATGATGATGATGATGGTCATTGTTCACATGTTTTGATCTAGTTTTTTTTTCGGGTAGGAGAGGAGGGGATGCCAATAAATAAAAAACAATTGACCCGATTAATATATGCGAAAAAAAAAATTGAAAAATTTAAATGAAAGAAAGAGAAAGATAAAATATACCAGTGTTTCCGAAATATGAAATATTCAAATGAGAACTATAGTATTAATCGTTTTTCGATTCTATTCGATTATTTTTCAAACCAAAAAAAAAAAAAAAAAATCACAGCAATAATTTTTGTCTTATTTGACGTAAATGTTGATGTTGAAAAATGAAAAAAAAAAATTTTTTTGTTGCTTTTAAAATGGTTTTTTATCTGCTTTCGTTGATTAATATGATGTGAACAAAAATGTAATAAATTGGGTTTTACTGATTTTTTTTTTTTTTTTTTTGATGGTGGTGGTGGAAATAGTTTTCAATTGTTGAAAAAAACGGTTCCAAATTGTGTTTGGGTAGTAGTAATCCATATATCCATCAATCGAACCAAGATGTGAACGATTTATTATTGATAACTATTTTTCTTGTTCAATTTTTTTTTGGATCATATTGGATTCATGTTTTCAAAATCTACGCCCAAAAATAGAAATATAACAAATTGAACAAAGAACGAGAAAAAAAAACATCCATGATCACCTTCATCACCAAATATGATCATTCATTTCGATAAATCTTGATTTTTGTCTGGCCGTAGAAAAAAAAAAATTGGGTGAAATCTTTGTGGATGGTTGGTTTGTGTTTGTGTGTATGGATGATGATGATGATGTAATTGTCAAGATAAATCAAGTCAAAAATCAAGACAAAAGATAAAAGAAAAGAACGATCAAAATTGTTATCTATTTTATCATCACAAGATATAATAAAAAAGAAACAAATTGGAAAAAAAACATCGTTCACTATTATTTTTTTTCTGGTCATTCATTCATTTTCTATACGATATCAAAACAATGGATCGATACTATCGATATATTAATTATATTTTTCGAATACAACATTTTTACCGGTCATCATCATATTTTTTTTTACTGTTTTTATTCGGTTATCTTTCAATTTTTGACATATTTTTGATTTGTATGGTTAATAATAGAAATATTCAAAATTATTTGATATTTGGTATAGTATATAACTTTATAATAAGTTCAAAATTCGATGGCTAGAAGACTCGGAATTCATTCTGATGACCCAAATTTGAATTTTTCCGTAATGTTAGTTATTTACACTCGTGGATAATATGAGTATTGTATGAGATAAGAAGATAATTAAATGATGATATATACAATGTTTGATTGTTAAGAAAAAAATTACAGATTTTTCATCCAATTGTGATGATCGATCACAATGTTTCTTGAGACGATATATATACAATAGAAGAACATGATTACGATTCGATCGATTCGGTCATTGATCATTGATGGTGATCATAATGATATCGATTTTGTTTCTTAACGATGACAATATGATGATGATAATCGATTAACTTTTCAATCGATTTTTTTTTCTTGATTAATGATGATGATCATGATATCGGCAGCCGAACTAATTATGATGACAAAATCGATCAAAAATTGGATTTTTTTTGTTTTGTTTTGTTTTGTTTCACAACAATGACATCGAATTGAACATGGAATACATTTTTTAAAATGGATCAAGTGTCAATGATCGAATTTCTCAAGTTTATCTCTATCACTATCACTAGCTCTCTTCCGCATCATCATTATCATCAGCGAAATTTTTTTTTTCGAATTAATTTTGGATTTTTTTTTCATTTTTTCAAAAAAAAATACAACACTAAACAACCACTGCCATCTAGTGATGGAAGAATATATCGATTGTTTGAATCTAATAACAACAACAACAATTGTTTTGAAATTATTTAAATCTGCATAGATTTTCAATAAATCATTGGCATTTTTTTCTACTTTATTAGTTTGGCCTATTTTTTCCGATTTATCTCTTTCTCTATTCGTAGTAATCAATCAAAATTTTTATATATTCATTTTGTGTTCAATATATATAAAATCAATCCTCATCAAAAGAAAAAAAAAGGGGGCAATTAATAAAAAATGTACTGGTTTTATTATCGTAATCGAATTAAGAGAACATATGTTGGACGTGATACATTTACAAATTCTGCCGGTGCTATACCATTGACATATACATCAAGTCAATTATTATCACAATTAGAAACATTACGTGAACAAATCCGTACATTATTGATCGATGATAATGATCCTGATTCAACGAAAGATGAACGTTTGGATGAAATTTTAAAGAAATACTATTCATTATTTCGTGGTTTCATATATTTACCCACCGAAAAGGTTGCTGAACAATCATCAACCACCACCACCACAACAACAACAACAAGCAATGATAAATCAAACAATGACATTCATACAATGGGCCAATCGCCATTACGAAGATTATTCCGTTTCAAATGGGATGATTCAGTGACCGATGCAAAAGTATCGGCTAATGATACATTATTTGAAGTGATTTCATTGCTTACAAATCATGGCCTTTGGTTAATGCAATGGTGTCAGAATATATCGTTAATAATACCGATGAATTATTTTCCACAACATGTTGTGACAATGCAAAAAATTCTTCGTCGTGCTGCTGGCCAATTTCAACTTGCATTTCGATCATTTCAACCACAATTACCGGAACAATTACGTGATCGTATTGATTCTAGTAATTCGAACATTTTACAAGCATATTATTTTCAATGTTTAGCTGAAGGATGGGAATTATGGTTTATTAAAATATTACAAAATATGACCATTTTTCAAACAGATTCATTGAAATTAAAACCATGCGGTGGATCTGTTGATCCGAAAACAATTGCTCAATTAGCAATGACTATTTATGGAAATTTCAATCAATCAATGGAACGTATACGAACAATAATATCCGAATTATCGAATTATCAAAGAAATAATGAAGCAAATTTCTACAATACATGGTTCACATATTTGGAAGTGAAATCCTATTATTATCAGGCATGGAATTTTCTTGCAAATACCTATGATCGTTGGCTAATTGCATCGGATATACAAAAAATTCAGTCACAAATACGACAAGAATTAAATCAAATGGATAGATATCAGAAAGAGTTAAGAAATTTAATTCGAAAATATAATACATTGATGAATCAAACACCGGAAAATCGAATCAATAGAGAATCATTGTTGATTGAATTACGATTATATGCACAAATGTTACAGGAACAGGTGGAAAAATTGGAACGACCAGTTGGTATTGATTCGATATTTGATCATCGTATCCAATCAGTAATAAATTCTAAAGAAATGGAACCAATTCCATATCATTTTCCGGCATTCGATGATATTTGGACAACTAATTTCTATAGTGAATTCGGTGTACATCTACCACGTGAAGATGCCGAAGCATTAGCTGCACAAATTAAACGTCAAAAAGAATTGGAAGAGCAACAACTTGCCCGTAAGTGTTTAACAGTGCTTTTTCGTTATTTTTCCATTATTTACGTTTTTTTAAATCAAAATATTTTAGAAAAAATGATTGAAAGCAAAAAACAATCACCGTTCAATAGAATTTCACGATTTTTTAATCGAACATCACCACGTGTTATTAAAAGTTCCAATCATTTATCGCCGAATAGAACAAATGTAAATATCAAATCACCATTGCCATATAGATCACCAAGAAAAACACCATTAGGTCATATGATTTCACCTATTCCAGCTCCGGATCCACATGGTAAAAATCCAATAATATCAACACCATTGGTTATACCGACAATCCAATCTAAAATTGAAGAAATAAAATCTAAAACATCAGGTAAAAAGGCTACATCACCATCACCACCATTACAGAAACCGGTAACACCAAAAATTACGGCCACTGCTACAACAACAACCACAACAACAACAGCAACAACAACAACAACGGCCAGATACAATGATTACATTGAAAAAACGTCAGGATATTATTCGTCAAACTTTACAAGCGACAAAAAGTTTGGATGAAGTGTCGACAAATTTGAAAAAACAACAAAAGTAAAACCATGAATTTAATTTGATTAAATTTTTCATTTCATTGAATTTATAATGATTAACCATGGCCAATAACAGATGATAAAAAAATCTGGTTAAATTTTTTTTTTTTTTAAACAAAAAAAATTTTTTTGCGAAAATTTTTCTTTGCCTCACACACACACACAAACAGTAATTATTCACGTTTAATCGTTATATCAATATGTTATCCTAAAAAAAAATCAAGAAGATAATGTCTACAAAATATCGATATCAAATCATTATCACTGCGTTGATTTTTTTTGCTGCATTAAAATGACAAAAATGATATTGAATATCCATCATCATCATCATCATCATCATTCATAATCATTCATGCCGGTGTGTATCATGAGCGCTCAAATCGTAAATGTGTAAAGATAAAAAAAAAAAAAATTTCCGCTTAAAATGTTTAAAAATAGTAGGAATAAGAACAAATTGAGCTCATATTTTTTATAAATGAACTTTTTTGGTACGCAAATCGTTGGGTACTTTTGTGTTCATTCTTTTATTTGATTTTTGATGTTGTTTTGAAAATTTAAAACAATAATGTTGAAAATTTCACCAATTTTACGTTTATATCGTTCGAATTCATCATCAATCATACAACGATGTACACAGATACAGATGATATCAACAAGAAATCTGACCAGTGGTGATAATCATCATGATTATTTAAGGTAAATAATATATAATTGACATATTAATTATATTAACGATTCGAAAATTTATTATATCAACAACAACAACAACAACAAAAAGTCCATACGTTCAGCTACCATATTCATATGCATTTGGTCGTAGTCAAGGAAATGTTATCTATAAAACCTTGGGACAACTTATGGATGAACGGGCAGAAAAAGGTAAACATTTGTGTTTTGTGAAAAAAAAATTTTAACCCATTAACTACACACACACACAACACACACACACTTAGATTCTGGTCGACCATTCATAGTTAGCCATCATGAAAATATTAAAAAATATTTTGGTGAATTTTATGAAGAAATAAATCATTTGGTTATGGCCATGCACGATCATTTAAACATAAGACGTGGTGATGTTGTTGGAATTTGGAGTAGCAATGTTTATGATTGGATTGTCATACAATATGCTTGTTTACGTCTTGGTGCCATACTTTGTACGGCTAATCCATTTTATCAATCACATGAATTAGATTATGCTATTCGTAAAGGTGAAATGAAAGCATTGTTTATGCCCGGTAAACAATCAAAACAAAATGAAGTGAATGATTTTTTCAAAATTATTCGTGAAACTTTGCGCAATAAATCTGAGGTTGGTTATTTTTATTTTTATTTTAATGAATTTAGTTCATTTTTTTTAAATCAATTTACCTAGAATGAAGAACTTCCACTTCATCTGAAGAATATTATTACCATTGATGGTGAACGTTATGATGAGAATGATTTTCCATCCAATCTTCAAATCAAAACATTTGAATTGTATAAACTTAAACAATATAAAGCAGAATTGGATCGATCAATAATCGAAGCTGTATTGCCTGATGATCCGGCCAAAATTGTATTCACATCCGGTACGACAGGAAGACCTAAAGGAGCTTGTTTATCACATTTTACACTTGCCAATAATGTTTCATTAATAATGCGTCAATTTGAAATTAATGGTGAAGCAAATTGTTGTCTTCCATTGCCATTTTTTCATTCATTTGCCGGTGTACTTGGTAATCTAATGCCATTGGCATTTCCTGAATCGCAAATAGTTATACCATTTTTGAAATATAATTTACGCGATTTTGTTGAATGTATACAGAAACATAATGTTACATTTTTATTTGCAACACCAACATTGGCCATTGATTTATTCAATTATGTTTCACGAAAGAATCATCAATTACCAACATTGAAAGCTGTTTTAGCTGGAGGTGCAGCTGTACCAGAAGAAACTGTTTATCAATTTAAAGCTACAGTGCCAAGTTGTACAGATTTTCGTATCGGTTATGGTGCAACTGAAACTGGACCTGGTTTATCTGGGAATCGAACAGATAGTTCTGATGTAGATAAAGCTCAAACTGTTGGTCAACCGATTGATTTTGTTGAAGTAAAGATTGTTAATCCAGAAACAAAACATTTAGTAAAAATTGGTGAAACTGGTGAACTTCATACAAGAGGACATCATGTTATGATTAGTTATTGGAAAGAACCGGAAAAGACTGCTAAAGTATTACAAAATGGATGGTATAATACTGAGTAAGTATGCATCGGATTATTTACGAGGAAAAAATCATCAAACAAATAATTTTGAAATCAGAGATCTTGCAACAATGGATGAAAGAGGATATATTAAAATTGTTGGACGTACAAAAGAGATGGTCATTGTTGGTGGTGAAAATGTTTATCCACGTGAAATTGAAGAAGTATTGCATATGTTACCGAGTATCGAAATTGCTAGTGTAAGTTTCAGATTTCTAATTGAAAAAAAATAAATAATTAACAAAACATTGCTTTCTAGGTGGTTGGCGTACCTGATGAACGACGTGGTGAAGAACTTTGTGCCTGGATCAAATATCGTGAAGGTGTTCCGGAACAATCGCATGAAGAATTGCAAGAATTTTGTAAACAAAAAGTAATAACTAGTTTTTTCAAATCATTTTTCTTGTAATTAATTTTTGCTTATTTATTATTCTCATTTCTCATATATAGTTGGCCTATTTTAAAGTGCCGAAATATTTTCTAACGGTCGATGATTTCCCCATGACACCCACAAGAAAGCAACAAAAATATTTAATGCGAGATATTTCAGTTGAAAAATTAAAATTAAAAAAATCAACAAAAAAATAAAATTCCATATGACCTAAAAAAGATTTATAAATCTTCACGATAGATGTCGACACATTATCATGTGAAAATATAACAAATCAAATTGATTCCGAATGAAAATCATCATTTTATTTATTCTTTCTTTTTTTTTAAAACATTAAAATTTTTAACAACTTTACTAATTATTTCATTTAATATAATAGAGCATTTGTGTATGAACGTTGTGTAGGTGGTGGTGGTGATGAATGGTGGTGGTGGTTGTAGTGTAATCGAATGGGTTCAAAATTCATTCGTTTGTCTGTATTACATGTTGATCGGTTTTCCAAAATAAGCGGCAAGATTTGCTTCACGAAGTGCTTCCGAAACTGTTGGATGTGCATGACAAACACGTGCAACATCTTCAGCTGATGCACCATATTCCATTGCTAGTACAGCTTCATTAATTAGTTCACCGGCAACATTGGCAATCATATGAACACCAAGTATGCGATCGGTTTTTTTATCGGCCAATACTTTAACAAGGCCATCGGTTTCATTATTAGTTTTAGCACGACTATTAGCTAACATAAGGAATTTTCCAACTTTATATTCAACTTTATTTGCTTTTAATTCTTCTTCAGTTTTGCCTACCCAGGCAACCTCTGGAAATGTATAGATAACGGATGGTACACAATTATAATCGATATGAACTGGACCACCGGCAATACCTTCAACGGTAACGATGCCTTCATCTTCGGCTTTATGGGCCAACATTGGACCCGGTACACAATCACCAATAGCATAAATATTTGGTACATTTGTTTGGAATCGTGAATTTACTTTGATTCGATTTTTTTCATCCTTTTCGACACCAACTTTATCTAGGCCAAGATTTTCTGTATAAGGTCTACGACCGACTGATACCAACAGAACATTTGATGTTAATGTTTCTGCTTTGCCACCTTTAGCTGATTCAATTTGGATTTCCACTTGATCATCCGATACTTTATTTGCCGATAAAACTTTTGTATTCAATTTAAATTTCAATCCTTGTTTTGTTAGGATTTGTTGAAATTTTTTGGCAATTTCAATATCAATACCCATGCCGCCAATTTGTCCAAGAAATTCAACAACAGTAACATCAGCACCTAATCGTGACCAAACTGATCCTAATTCCAATCCAATTACACCGCCACCAATGACAACCATCTTTTCTGGAACTTTTTCCAATGAAAGAGCACCCGTTGATGATACGATAGTTTTCTCATCGATTTCAATACCGGGAAAAGGTGTCACTTCAGAACCGGTAGCTATTAAGATATTATTTGCTTTAACTATTTCAGTCGAATTATCGTTTTTCGTTATTGTAACTTCATTTGAACCGGTTATCTGGCCAAATCCTTCTATATGTGTAACTTTATTCTTTTTAAATAGTTGAGCAATACCACCGGTTAATGCTTTGACGGCACCACGTTTCTGTTCCATTAAAACATCCAAATTTAGCCGTACATTATCGAATTCGATTCCACGTTCTTTGAATTCATTATGCAGCCATATGATAATAATGTGAATTATGTAATAATGCTTTCGATGGTATACAGCCAACATTTAAACATGTACCGCCAAGTGTTTCACGTTTTTCCACACAAACGGTTTTCATACCAATTTGTGATGCTTTGATAGCGGCAACATAACCACCGGGACCACCACCAATAACAATAAGATCAGCATCCAATGTTGGTGTGGATAAATTTCGAACAGTTTGGCATGTGGTAGTTGCAGATGATGCTGATGCTGTAATTCTTGCCAATATCGATGAATTTTGATTGATCAAACGAATCGAAGAATTCAATAATGATGATGCCATCGTTATTTGTATAATTTGATTTCGATGACAATGATGAAAAAGAAATAAAATCGAATAAAATTTCCAATAAAATAAATATTAAATATGGTAAATTTTTTCTAGTTAATAATCACGGTGAATGTTGATGATCATAATCTTCTGATGATGGTCTGTTGTAAATTTGAATTTAATGATTTTCTTATGGATAACATTGAAATCTTATGGAAAGGACATCAACAGCTACACAACACATGTATGCATGATATTTACCAAGGAGACATTCGGTATCGACGACATATACATTGAATGCAAGCACAGACAGAAAGACTCAGCTGAAATTAAATTAAATGAAAAAAAGAATCGATACTATCGATATTTGAAAATGATATATATATTTTTTATTTTAAAAATTTTTCGCCAGACAGATTATTTTGATTTTTCAGAGACAAAATAAAAAATTCATTATTTCATGCGAAATTCATTGTTCCTGGATTCATATCCATCTAAATTATCGAAACGAAAATTTGAAATTGAATTCGATTGTAATTGAAAAAAAGGCAAAATGAATCAACGAACAATATGATGAAATAAACAAACGAAGAAACAGACGAAGATCGAGACGAATACAGATTCGAATTTATAATTGAAATATGGTGATGGAAAATCGGACGACATTGACAACATTGACCGCAATCGAATAGGATCGATTGTTTTGATTGATTGAATATTTTTTTTTTATTCGAAACATCAAAATGAAAATGGACACACACACACACGCCAAACAAACTGAATATCGATACATGATCAATCATTCACAATGATCGAATCAAATGACATTTCATTTGTTCGCATATATAATAATAATAATAATCAATTTGTTCACAAAAAAAAACTTTCCAATTGGAAATTCAAAACCGAACGAACAAACAAAACAAAATAAAAAAAAATTCAAAACATCAATCTATAATAAATTGGCCCGATTAGATTGGTCATCATCATCATCATAATCATTACGGCCAACGAAACACAGGCCACCACCACCACCACCATCATCATCGTTATGACAATCGACCACGCACAAACACATGTGAAACTTGAACTTGTCCAAAAAAACAACAACAACAAAAAATCTTTCCGATCCTGAATAATTTCAAATTGTAATGTTCATGATCCAATCAAGTGGATGTTATGTTATATGTCATATTTCCATCTATCCATCCATTTTTGTTCAAATTAATTCAATATAAGAAGAAATGAAAATTTTCAAAATTCTTTAGAAAAAATAATGATAATTGTTTCGTCAACGTATTATTATTACCACAGACAACAACATCCTAATCGTGGCCAGAATCGTATCCATTCTTCATCATCAAATTTTTTCGTATTTCAATTTCAATAAGCATTTAATTTCAAATAAAAATAGTGATAATTTAATATGAAAATGATGAAAAATTTTAACAAACAAAACAAATTTTTAAAAAATGAAACAGCAAAAAAAATTTGCAACAAAAAATTATCTGTATCAAACACAAACGGTAGACACGTGTGTCTGATGTGTTCAACAACAGGTAAAAATTATAATTTCTGTGGTTATTATTTGACCATATTTACCGGAAATGATGTTCAAATTTGGATTGATCATTGTTGTTGTTGTTGTTGTTAGGTGATTATTAGATTATCCAAGGAATTTTTTTTCCAATTTTTTATCTTTTTCTTTCTCGTCATCGTTTTTTTCGTTAGTGGTTCATTACAATTATTTTATTCAGTTTATTCAGGTAAAAAATGTGTTTCATTGTTGTTGATGATTGGTGATGATGATGATGATGATAATAATTGGTGACAAACGATGATGATGATGACGATGACGATAATGTCCAATGTCAACATGAATGATGATAACAAATAATGATGATGATAAATCAACAACAACAACAACAACCACAAAAAGCATAAATAATAAATAATCAATCAAAATTGATGTTTTTTCTTGTGAAATTATGAAAAAAAACAACAACAACAACAGATTTGTATTCATGTATTTGTGAGTGTATGACATGCGGTAATGTCGTTAATATAATAATAATAATAATAATCGGTCAATCGGACAAATAATCATCTGATTTATCGAATTTCATTTTGTTGTTGTTGTTGTTGTTGTTGTATTCAAAGAATTCAATAAGTAGTATATAGTAATGTATAATAATAGTAATATACAAGCAAAATGGAAAAACGAATTGGGTGGCTAAGATTTTTTTTTTTTTGGTTTGTTTTTTTCCATATTGTTTACTTTTCAATTGAATTTGAAATGGATAATATTTGTAATAATAAATTATCAATGATTTTGTAATGATATGAATCTGTGTGAATGTGTGTGTGTGTGTGTGTATGATTATTGTACAAGTGTAACAGGTGAAAAAAAATGAATGAATGAATAATGAATAACAATGGAAGTAAAAAAAAAAAATTATTTTTTCGATTTATATTTGTTTCCGGCTGATGGTGATGAACCAATTTCACCACCACCACCACCACCACTACTTGGACCTACAGATGATGTTAATTTATCAATAGCATATTGTAATGCATTTCCATTGAAACCGCTTGATTTTTTGCCACCAGCACCAACATTACCACCTTTATCATATCCACCGTTTCCATTACCACTACTGCCACCGTTTATAATACGGATACCATTTCCGAGACCACCACCACCACTACCTGTACCGACATTTCCACCATATCCAGCGGAACCAGCATTGCCAGCATTAAGTCCACCGATTCCTCCCATCATATTTAAACCACCACCAAGACCAAGACCACCAGTTACACCGCCGGCAACTCCTCCTTTTCCTTGTGCTTGTCTAGCGACAATTGTTTTTACCTCTTCTTCCACAGGACGGATTTCCTGTATGACACGCCTATATGGCATTATAATTTCATGTACTTCCTGTTTTTCGGACAAAAATAGATTATTTGTATGAATGAATTGAATCAATCGATCGATCAATTTCCTCACCTGGATAACCGGTTTCGTTACAGAATGACGTAAGAAGTGAGGTTCATCTTCACTTTGCGTTTCCTGTACTTCTTTTGGTTCACCAGGCTCATGTGATTGATGAATCTGAATTTGGCTAGCCGATGTTCGGAAATTGATGACGATTGGCATTGCACTTGGAGGAATATCAATCACTTGTGGTTCGCTATTTTCATATGAATCTTGGACTTCCTTCACTTCTAACGATCGTATAGAATTTATGGCTGCTGTTAATGGACCAGTTGGACCACTACCTGCGCCGGCACCAACATTTCCACTATATCCACCAGAACCACCATTGCCTCCATATGAAGAATGTTGTGACATTGAATTGAAGAATCCACCATTGGATTGAGGGTTACCAAATCCACCGTTTCCTCCTTTATATCCAGCATTATTTCCGCCCATCGGTGCCATAACACTATTATATGATGAAGGTGATGATGCCGTGTCTTTAATTTTTAACAAATCCATAACTGATTGAAAATAATTCGAATCAGATGTCGAGGATGCTGTCGACGCGGATGATGATGATGATGATGATGGCAATGATGATGAAGTAATTTTATTGATGGACTGTTTTTGTTGTTGTTGTGAAGGGATCAATGTATCATAGGTCATTTTTTTCAATATTTTTGCTTGTGAAGATGATTGTTCACTAGCAGCACCGGTTATTGGCAATTCTTCATCAAATGTTGGCATAATAAGCTCATATACTGGACTTTTACGAACTTTTGTGGCCACTGAATTTGAGCTTGAACCTTGCATCAATGATGTTGTTATTGGTGATGGTTCAAATACTAATGGTGTTAAACCATAACCACCTAATGGCCGTGCAAGTACAGTGGTCATTGCAGCATGACCAAATGTCTCGCCATGAGCAAAAACTTTTTTGAATAGGACAAAAAATGGATATATAAAAAATCATTATTCGAAAAAACAATGAAAAATTGAATAATAATATTTGTCTATCAATCAAAAATTCAAATTGGATTTTCTCAGGAAAAAACAATCGATATAATTTCGATTTATTTAAAATATAATCGATCAATCAATCGATTTTTTTTTCTTCACTAACCTGGCAACAAGTCGTCATGAACATTGTCAATATGATTAGATAATGTTTCATAATATTGGCCATTATGATGATTGATTAGTTGTTTGATAAAAGTTTAAGGAAAACAATTAGCAAAAAATTATGAATCTAAATCGATTGTGATTGGAACACACGTTGATTGATCAATGAATTTTTTTTTTCTTTTCGTTTGTTGTTGTTGTTGTTGTTGTTGTTGATTTGCACGATAAATGAATGTGAAATAAAAAAAATTTATATCAAACACATAAACACACGCACATTGAAGAAACACTAGACAAAAAAAACCGAGGATTCAATCTACACCATTGATTTGACAACACATCCGCATATATATATCACGAAATGAATAAATAACTTGGAAAAAAAATCAACACAATTCACAAACATATACAGCCAACAGAATCACAATTACACATCGATTTGATTGTTGTGTTGTATGTGTGTGTGCGTGTGTAAACAAAAATTGAAATGAAAAATCAAAAAAAAAAAAAAAAAATGGTGATGATCGAAAAAACAACACAACAACATGAATCATGCAATGTTCAGGTGTGTGTGTGTGCATATGATGAAAGTGAAACAAAACTGAAACTGTACCGTATTTTGACATCAGTTTTTATGATTGTGGTGAAATTTTTTTTCTTTTCTTTCTTTATTGTTTCAAAAGATTTGAAAAATTTCAGATGAACATCTTTTTTTTGTGCATATTGAGGGCTAGCAAAAAAAAAGTGTCTCAATCATTTTTTTTGAATTTGACTCTTTTCTGTCATGTTTTCTGTTCACATTTACCGCAATGTGATCTGTAATGAAGATTTTTTTTCTTTATTTCTGTTCATACACACACACACACACACTGACAAATGTCAGGCTCGTGTTATCGTGTTATTTTTTTTTCGGGCCACCCATATTAGAAAACAGGGGCGTTGCACGAGGGAATTTGCACGAGTTTTGTTCATCAAATATTATCATCATCATTAAGTATATTGCTCTCTGTTTTGTGTTCCAGAGTAAAAAAACATTTTCAAATGGTTCTCTTTCTTATATTCATTTACTATGAGTATTTTTTTTTTCTTTTCTCTTTCTTTTCTGGAACCTTCATTTTTTTTTTTTTAATGATGATGATGATGATGATTATCGTAATAATGGTGATCATTATAAAGTGTTATGATGATGATGATGATGATGATAAGATGTGCTGCTTACAGACATTGATTTTTTTTATCTACATTTTAAACGACAAAATTTATTTAGTTTGTAAATGAACATTTTATAATGAGTAAAATTAGTGAAAACTACTATGGACAAAACAGTATGTCAAAGAGCCAGAGACAGTCGGGTTAAAAGAGACAATTTACCATTTCCATCATGTGATGATAATGGAAATGGAATTGTAGATCATTTCACATGAACAGAATAACACAACATATGCACGACATTTTTTTTTTGTTAATACAAAACAACAACAATGAATATATAGGCGTATTAAAAGAATATAATATAATAAAATAGTCCAAACTAAAAGATTTGTCGTGAGAAGATTCAGAAGAAATAAAAAAAAATTTTTTCATATGATAAAAAAACCTTGATCCTGTTATGTGATTAAATTTTTATATGTACAGTGATGATGATAATAACGATGCCAATGAAAATAAATGACCACCACTACATTATATATAAATGTGAATCGCCCAAATGATCCATCGTCAATGATGGATTCATATTTGCGTGCCATAAAAGAATCCATCATTGATGATATCGGATTCAATATTTTAACAAACAAAAATCAATCGGAAGTGGAAATCTATACATTTTTTTCATTTAATTTCATTCATAATTAATAATTTTACAAACAGAAGATGAAAAAAAAACTAGAACGATTTTAAATCAAAAAACAAACAAACAAACAAACAAACAAACAAACTGATAATGTTGATTTTCAAGACAATCGATAAGGAAATTAGTTCAATTGATTGAATGATCGAACGATTGCCAATGGACAAAAATTTTCTCATATCAATTACTGAAATGATAATAATGAATGAATGAATGAATGAAAATAATCTACTCAAATCGTTATGGCTTTTTTGATGAGTTTAATTTATTTTTTTTTTGTTTAATATTCTTCCCCTGAATACAATGCAAAATGAAAAATAGTTCAATGTAATGAAGATGATGATGATGATGAAGTTCAGAACAACAACGACAACAACAACAGAAGAACAAAAAAAAAATCCATAAAATGACCATAACATTATTCAAGTTTTCCTGATATTGTTTTTCTTGTCATAATCATTTTTCAGTGGAGATAAAAATCACCTACAATGAAACAAACAAATCAACAGTGAAAAAAAACCGATAAAAATGTCAAGTAAACAACAGAAAAGAGGATTCAAAGATTATCCACACACACACACACACACACACACACACATACATCAAATTTATTAATACGGATTCAAATTCAAATTCCATCAGATTAAGGTAAAAAAAACAACAACAACAAATGAATGAATATTTAAAAAAAAAGAAAAAAACAAACAATAAACAATAATGTCTATGGTAATGATGATTATCAGGTAGAAATGAATTGAAACAACGACAATGTTAACGACAACAACATGATTAACCGTGAATAGAATGAATTGGATGTGAATGAAAATCATAATGAACACATGATGATTATCATCATCATCATCATCATCCAGATCATGAATGGTGATTAATGGAATTTTAAATCATTGTAAACAACAAAATCAAAATGACAATTTTCACCATTTTTTTGTTGTTGTTGTTTGTTGTTGCAAAATCAATGTGGATATAGACAATTTATCAAAGGTAAAAGAAAAAATAAGTTAAAAGCTAAGATCAACGTTTTATGATCATCATCATCATCATCATCATCGTTGTCGTTTTTTTTTGTTTCAATGAATCAATTTGAAAAAAAGGAAATGATAGATGAAAATATTTAAATCATTGAATTTCTTTTCTTATTTTTTCAAATCAATCACAGTTGGTGGTGACCTTTTTTTCGTTGTTGTGGCGGTGGTGGTGGTGATGGTGGTGATCAATGATGATGATTATCGATGATGATGATGATGATGATGATGATGATGATGATGGTATGTATCGACTTGTTGATTTGAAAATGTTGTTCAAACATTTCATTCTGTATGCATTTATCGTCGTATATTTATAAACGACGATAATCGATTCATCAATCAATTTCTTAATTTATATTATTATTATTATTATTATTTGTGAATTGTAGATCATTCGAACATATGATGGTGATCACAATTTGTTGTTACAATCGAAATTGAAAAAAAAATCAATTTCCGACTATACTGAAAATGCATGGGAAATGTTCATTTAAATCAATCTCAGGAATTAAAAGGAATAAAAGGAAGAAAAAATCTGGAAAATCCTTCCCAAGAAACATCACATATCACAATCCATTGTGTTACATGATGATGATGATGATGATGATCAAATCCAGATAATTAGGTAATTAAACGAAACGAGAGAAAAAAATTGAAATCAACAACAGTAGAAAAAATAAAAATGTTGTTTGAAATGTGAATTTTGTTATTTTTGAAAATGAAACTTGTGATATTAATTATGGTCATCATTATATAATTATGTGTGTGTGTCTGTGTGTGAAATGAAATTTAGAGTAAAAAGCATTAGGTGAATTTTATTTTCTTTTTTGGTGAGAATGTCATTTTAAATGGTCATAATGATCACCATCATCATGATCATCATCATTGAAACAAAGTTTTAGCTATTTCTATAAAGTGTTTATATCATCACACATGATCATCAGTGCATGTATGGCCTATGATTGCGAATGATGATGATGATGATAGTGAAATGTTCTGTTAAAATTATGTTTAAATAAAAAAACTAACAATTTGAATTTCTAGCCACATTTTTTACTTTCATGTTAATGTTTGTTTGTGTCATTCAGTAGTAGTTTATTATGAACAAAAAACTTTATAAATATGACACAGGAAGTATATATGATCGAGTTAAAGTTTTCGTAAGTGAATGATGAATGTTCAGATTTAAAATGTGGACCTCTTTTTCAATGGTATGTTTCGGATAGATATGTGATTGTGGAAACGTTAAAAAAAAAAAAAAATCAGCCAGAATGTTGATTCATTGCTTCGAAATAGATTGACCTTTTTTTCCATTTATCGGTACGGCAAACAACAGGATTGTCAAGGATCATCGTTGTTTCCTGGTTATTACGATGATGATGATGATGATGATGATGATGATGATGATAATCATCTGTACCAAATGGCAATTAAATGAATATATAATGTAAACGCCCAAAATTGGATTATATTTCAATCGAATTAAAATTAAAATCATATATCACACATGTATCACCATTATATATGTGTATATAAACAGCAGACAATACAATCAGGATTCAATGGTGGGGGAAAAAAAAAAAAAAAATCAAATTTTCAATTGTGATTAAACAATTTGAAAATCTTACCATTTTGATTGTTTTTCTTAATATACATTCATTCGCCCTTAATCACCAATCTTTAGGGGATTTATTTTGTTTGTCTGGATAATCGAATTTCTTCCACGTGATCATCATCATCATCATCATCATTTTCATATTAATATTTTAAGCTTTTTAAATGATGTGTATGTATGTATATAAAAAAAGATAAAGATGAAATCATTACATTTACATTTACATTCCAAATTGATTAATAGATTTTATGAATAGCTCCAAAATCACATGCCAAAAGAACAAAAATTATTATTTAAATGATGATAATGATGATGATCAAAAATCCTTAATATTTACTCAAATGTTTGATTTACATTCAAATTCAGATCAATGGGAGAATTAAAGAAAAAAAAATGTTAATGGTAAGTCAATACATTTTTTTGATTAATTTGTTTATTTAGAAAAATCTTTCAAACTCATTGATCATCATCATCATCTATTTTTTTTTTTAGTTGTCATCATCATTTTGATTACGTAATGTGATGGTTATATATGAATATGAAATAGATGAAAAATAAAAACTTTTTAAATCTATCTGGAAACAGAACGAACGAATGAAAAAAAAACAAAATAAAATGATCCAGAAATGAAGAAAATTGTGAAATTCAAACATCAATCAATGGGGGGCAAGATGATGATAAAACGTGGTGCTTTTTGTTTAAA